TGGGTCACACCCAGAAATGCACAGGAGTTACTCCTGGCTCATGCACTCAGGAATTACTCCTGGTGGTGCTCAGGGGACCATATGGGATGCTGGGAATCGAACCCAGGTCAGCCGCAGGCAAGGCAAACGCCCTAACTCCTGTGTTCTTATTCCAGCCTGAGATGTTAATTTCATTGTGGTTTTGTTTTTAATATGATCCACCCTCCATTCCATTTGATAGTTCTGCTATTAATCTTATGGAATTGTCTTTGCATGTAAATTCTTTCTTTGATTGTGATGTTTTCAACAATGTGTCTTGTCTTTTGACTTCTGTCATTCTAATGATAATGCATCTTCAATGCTATTGTGAGGTTATCTATTTTGGCCTGGATGTTTTGGTACCTTCCCCATCTCTCCCCTAGTCCTCCTTTGGTTTTTTGGGTCAAGGCAGAACCCTGGCTCTACACTCAGAAATTACTCCTGGTGTTGCTCCAGGGACACTATGGGATGCCAGAGACCAAACCCAGGTAGGCCTTGTGCAAGGCAAACACCCTACCAGCTGTACTATCCCTCTAGTCCTGGGCCTCCTTAATCTGAGTGCATGTGTTTCTTAACACTAGAAAATATCTCAGTTATGATTTCCTTGCCTAGTTGTTAATCTCATCTTTTTGAGTATCGGGGACTCTGACGATTTTTATATTGTTCCTTTTGAACTCATTGCATAGTTTTCTAGTGTACTACTTATTACTAAACTTTTCCTAGCTTCAGTTGTTTTCTTGAAGTTTTCTGCATCTCCTCTCTGAACTTACCTCTCTTTTTCTCCACCCTCTCTCTCTTTCTCTATCCCCCCACTCATTCCCTCTTCTCTCCTCCTCTCTCCTCTCTCTTTGAAGGTGTTGACACCTACACACACACACACACACACACACACACACACACATACACACACACACACCTTTTACTTTCATGTTTAATTTACCATATATACCATTGTTTCTTTTAACTCATCAAACACCCTCATTGTGGTATCTTTAAAGTTATTTTTTGAGATATTCTTCAACTGGTTGCCACTAGTAGAACCTTCTGGGATATTATCTTTACTTATTGGGATATTATCTTGGTAGATTTCTATGTGGCTTCCCCATCGATGTCTGCTGTTTTGTGAATCTTTATAAACTACCCCCCACGAGAGCTCATAGATTTAGGTTAAGTATTATTCTGCTCCTTGTCTTCCAGTTTTCTTCCAGAATATTTTTGTTATTTCTAGTTTGTGATTTTGATGCCCAGTATGAATTATGGTACACATTTCAAAGCCATCTTAGCTCTGCATCTCCTCTGACTACAAATAAATCCTACATGATTTTTTGTGTGTGCTTGCTTTTGGATTCATACCTCGTGGTACTCTTGGCTTAATCCTGCATCTGTACTCAAGAATCTACAAGTTTAGGGACCATATATGGTGCCAGAAAACAAATCTAGATCTGCCATGTGCAAGACAAGTAGCCTTCCTACATCTATCTTATCTCTCCAGCCCTGAGTATGTATGATTTCTTACTAACAGCATTTCCTTCTGAGGGCTATTCTATATGATCACCTGATGGGGCCAAGAATAAAGTATTAATTGCATTACATCTTTGGCTGCAATGGGAGATACAATTGAGTCTGTCTGGTTGGAACAGGAGGAATATGGGTTGTGAAGTGTTATTAAAGAGTTGATGTACAGCTGCTTAGGCAACCGGGAATTCAGAATAAAGGGTGGGCTTGGGAACTGGGATGCAACTGAGAGGTGACAGTTGAAGAATGACCTGCTGAGCTCTAGGAAAGTTCATTCAGCTGGAAAGCAAGGGGATTACACATTAGATTCTAGGTGCAGAAAAACTGCTTCTAGGTTTGAGCATGTCAGGGCAGTGTGAGATTACAGAGTCCTCTTCTTAGCTGAAAACAGAAGTACTAGAGAGTGAGACATGTAAAATAGTGTAAAAAGTTAGCTGTGGGCAAAGGAACTGAGATACAATGGAATGAGCTTAAAAGAAAGATGATCCATTGTATGCTTAGCTGTGGAGAAAGCTGGTCCTCTGGGAAACTGGATTCTAGGTGAAGAAAGACTCCTGCCACAACCCACTCTTTGATATATCAGTCACTTGCTGCATATTAGAGCTCTCAATCTTCTGTTCCATTCTTTATGTTCTCTTTGAGTTTATGTGTGTGTTCATTGCAGGTGTTTGTTCTTCTTGTCCATGTCAATGTGCCAAGTGATCCTTGTAAAATAATTCTTGATTATTCTCTCAACTTCCCCAGATAAATAACTTTTTGAACTATTGATTATATACTTTGGTAAGGAAATATCAATACCCAGGCATATAAATAGTCATTGCTCGTGGTCTTGATACAAATCTGACAGAATTTGTCTTCACAGGAAATTCATCTTTTTTGTGAGACCAGATAGAGAATAAAGAAAATAAAAGAAAACCCTATCTTCAATGGTGCCAATTGTTTTCAAGAAAATGAGACAAGAGATGAGAATAGAAAGTTCAGGAACATGCAGGGATGTTATGAATATTAATAGACATGTCCAAGAAATTTTCACAAGAAGGGCATATTTAATATTTTAGAGAGGTACAAACATGAAATAATTACTTGAGATAAGAACATTTAATCAATTTTAAATGTTCATTACATATCTCCTCACCAAGTTAAATTCCTTCCTGTCATACAATCTTTATTAAATACTTGACTTCATATTTAAAGTTTTTAAAAAAGTAACATGATAAGTAGTACATCCTTTTATAATTCTTTGAACTTTAGAAAGATTTGATACTCTGCAACATCTAATCTAGTTATCTGTGATGATGCAACAAACTGCCACAACATGTAGAAACTAGAAAAAACTTGATTTTATATCAAATGTCATGTATTGGTGCTACGAATTTGGCTTAATGATAGAGAACGTGCCTTGTACATGTGAACACATGGGTCAAATTACTGGCCCTATACAAAGGCATATACACAATGGGGCAGGAGTAATAGAATAACAGATAGGGTGCTTGCCTGCCTGTGGCTCACCTCCTGAATTTGATCCCCCAGCAACCCATATGGTCCTAGTAGCCTGCTAGGAGTCATCCATAAGTGCAAAACTAGAAGTAAGCCCTCAGTACTGCCAGATGTGTTCCTCTATCACCTCCCCTTTAAAAAAAAAAAACATGACATATGCACAAATATCATGAATATGAGTTGGGTTTTTTTTTTTTTTGCTTTTTGGGTCACACCCGGCAATGCTCAGGGGTTACTCCTGGCTCATGCACTCAGGAATTACTCCTGGCGGTGCTCGGGAACCGTATGAGATGCTGGGAATCGAACTTGGACCGGCCATGTTGGCTGCGTGTAAGGCAAACACCCTACCTGCTGTGCTATTGCTTCAGCCCCGAATATGAGTTGTTAAAATTTGGTTGGGTTTTTAATTTAGGTAGAATTTGCTGTAGTGTTTGAGTCGATGAAACATCATCTGACATAAAACTCCTTTCATCTGAAGTACTTAAGATGGATTTATTGACCTGGTTTGATAAAGTCAAGCTTAATAGAAATGGCCACAGAACTGGTATAAACTATTCCGCTGTAACAATAGAACAGCAGATAGGGATTTTGCCTTGCATATAGCCAATCCAGGTTCAACCCACATATTCCATATGTTTTTCAAAGCACTGTCAAGAACAATTTCTGAGTGCTGAGCCAGGAGTAACCCCTGAGTATCACCACTGACTGGCCCCCAAACAAACAAACAAACAAAAAACCGTGATTGCAGGCCTAAATACTTGCACATGAATTTCAATAATATTCTGGTGTCAGAGTAATCAGAATTCTGACATGGCATTTCTGAGGCACATCTTGAACCTTCTAAAGATATAAGAAGTAGAATGCAGAAACCGATAGTCTCACTTTTCATATGCTTTGCCATATGTCTCAAAGTGGGGACAGTTAAAGGATGGAAATACTACTCTACAAAGGATGCATGTTCATACACGCTAGTGCCTAGGAATTTTTAATATTTATTCATTTGTTTTGGGGCCACTCTTAGTGAATTACCAGAGGATACTCCTGGCTCTGCACTCAAGTATTACTCCTGGTGGTGCTTGGAAATCCTTATAAGATGTTGGTTATTTACCGGGTCTGTCAAGTGCAAGGAAGTGCCCTACTCACTGTACTATTGCTCTAACCCCAGAATTATTTTAAGTTTATTGAGATTGATTTTCTCATACTCTGGAGACTTAGAAATCTGTATCAAAGTCTCTAGGCATGTATACTTCCTCTGAGACATTTTTTAATATGGGTTTTCTCATTTTCTAGAGGTGATGATTCTTCCAGCTTTTAGTAATTCTAATGTTTCTTGACTTATATTATTGTGCTCCAATATCTATCTCCTTTCTAACACATACTTCTCTGTGTCACATTAGCCCACGTCTATCTTTTTTTAAGGTAACATCATTGAACTACACTATTGTAGTGTAAAATTCCATCTTGATCTTTTCCATAATTACATCTCCAAAGTTCCTATTTCCAAATCATATCATAAGATATTAGAAACTGTGATAATAAACTGTTCAAATCATTTTATCATTTATATTTGTCAACAAAGATGATGATATAATGTCACTGTTCATCAATTTGCTCGAGCAGGCCCAGTAACGTCTCCATTGTGAGACTTGTTACTGTGTTTGGCAGATCGAATATATCATGGGTAGCTTGCCAGGCTTTACTGTGTGGGCAAGATACTCTTGGTAGCTTGCCGGGCTCTCCGAGAGGAGTGGAGGAATTGAACCCAGGTCGGCCAAGTGCAAGGCAAACGCCCTACCCGCTGTGCTATTGCTCCAGCCCTAAGATATAATGCTGGATGATGTGAAAAATCACAAGATTTGTTTCAACTAGGTGGAGTACATTATGGTACAAACTGTGATAATTGGCAAAAAAGCCTACATACTAATCAGAAAACCATGATTCTCAAAATACATATTCTCTTTTTTTCACAGTGACATGAAAAAAGTTGGTGTCACTGTGGTAGGACCACAGAAGAAGATCATCAGTAGTATAAAAGCTCTAGAAACACAATCAAAGAATGGTCCTGTTCCAGTGTAAAGTGTTATTTCTGAAAGAAAGTGGTGACTTTGGAAGCTGTGGCATCACTCTTCATATAAAAGATTGTGCTGAAGATTCTGATGAAAGTTCCAAGCCCAATAAGACACTCAACTCTGAGTACAAATGCCTTAAAATGAAATTTAAAAACTCTTTATTTTCCCCTGTTATTTAGCAGATGGGTGGGTGGGTGTACTTTGTTTTGTGATTGCTTTTTAAAATTAGTTTATGTATTAAATTGAAATTCTTCAACGTGAACTGATGAAGAACTAGCTTAGAGCCATTGATCATAAACTATTAAAACAAGTGACATGACAAACATGGTCACTCTGTTTACTAGTACTCACGGAAGATACTTGCAATATTTTTATACACAGAAGAACTCTGTAACAGGTATTTTGTTTCCTTAAAAGCAAGCAAAATAGAGGAATTTATACCTCAAACTATTTGGCCATATTTACTACCTTTTCATTGTATTATTCTCATTATATGTTAAAAACATATAGAAATAAAGTTTTTAGTTGTTTTAAGTACTACACATTTTAATGGTTAGCTTTCTTAAGTATTATCATGTAAAATATGTCTTAATTTGGAAGAAAAGTATTTATTTTCTTTTGAATTTTTTTATTGATTTATATTTATACCTTGGTGATTAATTTGGATTTGTTACAGCCAAGTGCCAAATGCTCTCTCAAATTTATAGCAGTAGGAAACACGGTAAACTAGACATAGAGAATGATGGGTTTCTTTTCATATTTTCTGAACCATTCACTTATATACATCTCTATCTGTCTAAATATATATAAAGAAACCAAACCTTGTCCTTCATATACTAACCAAATCTCTTCAACTATTCATCCATTTGTCTTTCCATTTATTGCAAACTTGTATGCTCCTAATTTAGTGTAATATACTGATATGTATGTAATGGATTCTCAAATGACATAGCTGCCCAGCTCTGGTGCTTAGGAGAATATCAACTTCCTCCACCAATGAATTAGCTATGATTAAATACCTGAGTGGAAAATAGCTACACTGGAAAGAAATGAAAATTGGAATCCTTTTTAGATTGTTACATTAAATGGCACCACAACCTATGGGCTAATGCATGAGTCAAAAATCACTTGCTGGCTGATTTAAAAAATGTCACATAATGTCTGTGTTTCAATTATTCAGCTTTTTATAGAGAATAGTAATAACCAAAACTACTCTACTTCATCATTGGGGTTTAGTTAAACTAATGATTATGTTATCAAACCAGGTTAACTCTGAGTCTTCCACTAAAATACACCTATTGAGTTTAGGTGTAAACTTAGAAGCATTGAATGTCTATATATATTTATTGAACACATAATTTTTAAAATAGCTAGTCATTTAGAAAATTTCTCAACATTTGTAGGCAGTGGAATGATTTCTTAATAGGAGCATAAATATAATATTCCATAACATCGAAATATGAACACATTCAGTAATTTTGAAAAAATATAACAGAAGGAAATCTAGCCACTAATATATTGTGAAGCAACATTTTAGTTTCTATATATGTATTATTTCTAATGCTGTTATCATCCTATATTATCATGTTTAGAAATTAAGAAATGCATAGCCCACAAAAAAGAATGAATGAATAAATCAATGCTGCAAATTTCTTTTTTACGAAAAATGGAGTACCACTTCTTACAATCAAAGGCCAAAATTCATTCACAAGTGTGAATGTATTAGGTAATAAGGTTTAGGTTGTGTTTATTCACATATGAGATTATTTCTCCAAGTTGGGGAAAATCATTTATATCCAAATGGGTCATCCTACAAGAATATTGTATTGGATGTATAAGGAAATAATTTTCTTAAATAAAGCAATTTGAAATCAATACAAAATTCACTTAAGCCTGTTAAAACCATTATAAAACATTTTTAATGAAATATTTTATCTAATAGAATGTTAAAATGAGTTTTGGATTGGATTCTAATATATTTTTTCTAGGTTAACACTTGATTTCTTTGGTATTATTCCGACTATACACAAATATATATGTGCATTTTCTAATTAATGACAATTATTTTGATCTATTTCATTTATTTTTGGCTGTGGTTCCCATTTGAAAGTAGAGGTTGTATACGCAGTATATTGCTCTTCATTTTGCTCACCATTTTTCTATCTGACTTCATATAAGTTTATTTACACAATTCTTGCCCTGTACATATGTAAACATGCAGTGTACGATTCTTAACTGTGGAGTAGAGGTACTAGAATGCTATGGCCATCTCTTTGTACAAGAACTGTGTTGACTTTGAATAACTTTGAAAGTTATTGAAATCTCCTTTACACTATTATGTACCATACTATCTTAATTTTGATTCCATATATTATTTATTTCTGACAATTTTACTAGTTTATGCTGTATGAAGTATCAATTAAACCATGTATAAATGTGATATGATTGGCAATATGTATTTACTTTAAACTTGTATTTTCAGATCATTACTCATTTAGTTTATATTGTACAATGTAGATGGCCTCTTACTAATGTAAAATGATTTGTAGTGGAAACATTTATATTTTTATAATAAACATAATGAAAATATTTTTTACAGATTAGTATGCAGTATGGTCCTTAAGACTTTCAAGTGAAGATGAGTTCTTATTAAAACAGCAAAATAATGAAATATATATATACATATATATTATATATAAAATTAGGGATGTGCCTGTGTTTCTTTTTTCTTCATTAGTGAAGTTGCCTTGCTATGTTATTCACATTTTTGTCAAAATCTCAACAATAAGGTAAAAAATTATAAGTATTTATTACTTGATTAAAGAACACAACTGTATTAAGCAATTTTAATTTAATTACCAGTGACAAAAGTTAAATAGCTTAGTTTAGGGTAGTAAAAAAAATAGACTCTGTAACTGAAAGTCTGAAACGTTCTAACTGGGAAATCAAGCATAGATGAAATTAGGATGAACTCTTTTCCAATTGGCCTTACTTTTCTCATCACAAAAATCACAAATCACCCTGTTATTCGTCGATTGCCTCGAGCAGGCCCCAGTAACGTCTCTATCATCCTAGCCCTGAGATTATATTCAAGGCTCTTTAGGAGAATGAGATCCATCATTGTTACTGGTATTTGGCATATTGGGTATGCCACGGGGAGTTTGCCGGACTCTGCCATGTGGGCAGGCTACATTCGATAGCCTGCCAGTTTGTCCAAAGTAGGAATGAGATAATAAGATGTCATAATAAGATGTTCCGGGAGCTGGTTTTTATACTCTGAGTCTTGGCCCTTGATGGGATTACACGGCGCCAGGGGGTCAGTTGGTGGGTGTGACCTCCACCTACTGGAATTTGGAGGATCTGGGTGGAGGATGCTCGGCCCCAATCCGAGTAGGTTTGGAGATCTCGACCCTGGAACCCGCGTGGCTTTGTCCCTCTGCACCTTCATGTGTGCGGAGAGTGGTCTCAGCATGGTGGTGGCTGGTCCTGGAGGTCTTCGGCTGCTGAAGCCCTGGTTAGGACGAGAGGAAAGCTCAACCTGCTCCCCTCCAAGGGGCCCCAGCGAGGACAGTCAGGCGCGGGGGCAGGAGACTACACTGTTCTCTTCCGGGAGCTGTTTTTTTATAATCTCTGAGTCTTGGCCATTGATGGGATTACACGGCGCCAGGGGGCCAGTTGGTGGGTGTGACCCCCGCCTACTGGAATTTGGAGGATCTGGGTGGAGGAAAAAATTCCGAGCATCCTCCACCCAGATTTTTCTCATAACTGACTGAATTTGCTGACTCTTTTAAAACTTCCTGTTAGTTAATTTAACCCTACATGTAATTCCTATGAGATGATCACTGATTTTCAATTGTGACAGCAGAAATCCTGGAATCTTTCTGAGTTTAAATATTATATCTGATTCACTTTGTGTAGGAGAAGAATTTACTCAGATAGGCAGGAACTTAACCTTGTGCTTTTTTCTTGGAGATAATGGAGTAGAGTAATACTGAATTGATAACATACAGAAACTGGAGGTGTCAGATTTGTTTATTCCAATGAAAAGTCATAATAAAATATATGGAAATGGAAGGAACGAATAAAGACTGTTAAAATAAAACAAGTCAAACTTTAAAACAAGTAGCTACAACTAATATCCATTGTAAGAAACACGTGATGCTATGTAAAGATATCCCTTAGCCTTTAAATTTTACTTAAATAAAAGGTGTAACAAGGTAATATGTGATCAATTAAACCAGAGGAAGGAGAACAAATATAGGATGACCTCATTCATATGTGGTCATAGAGAAAACTACAACAAGGGAATAGAGAATACTAAATGATAACAAACCCTTGTCTCTGTATTACAGAACTGAGAATGGATGAACACTTATGGAGGGTCTTGGGCTCTTTATTGGTGGTGAGAGAAAGTTACTATGTATATCATACATCAAATCATCAAATTTAGAGAATCAGAGAGATAGCAGAGTAGGTAAGGCACTTGCCTTCCATGTGGTTTAGCAGTGTTCAACCCTTGGCATTTCATACATATGGTACTCCTAGCCTACTAGGAGTTATTCCTGGATGCAGAGCCATAGTAAGACATAAACAGTGTCCGGCGTGGTTCAAAAACAAACTAAAAGTCAATTTAAGCAGTATTGTAAACTGTAGCACTGTCCTCCCATTGTTCATCGATTTGCTCGAATGGGCCCAGTGAGACTCGTTACTGTGTTTGGCATATCAAATATGCCACGGGGAGCTTGCCAGGCTTTGCTGTGTGGGCGAGATACTCTCAGTAGCTTGCCAGGCTCTCTGAGAGGGGCAGAAGAATCAAACCCCGGTCAACCTAGTTGGCCACGTGCAAGGCAAATGCCCTACCCGCTATACTATTGCTCCAGCCCATTGTAAACATGAGACCTAAATTATATTAATCATTTTTTGAAGAAATTTAAATCTTTCAGGAGCATGAAAACTCTTAGCTATTTAAAAGTATAATGATAACTGATGATGTTTAACAGGGTAAGTTAAAATTAATTTTATGAAATAAGCAATATTTTCTTAGAAGTGGAAGCAGAGGTAAAAAGTAACATTTGATTGTCCTTGGAGGTAATAATATCACATTTTGTCATTGTGAGTGAGTGAACAATATGAATATAGGAGACTAGTTATTCAAAAGGGAAGAATACATAAAAATACAGTGGTTCATTTAATAAATATCTAATAAGTGCTATTATGATAGATGTAATACTTAATGCCAATTATATATTAATGCACTAAATCTTTTCAATAATGGAGACAATTAAGACATAAGGTCTAAGTAAACTTCCTGTTATCACTCTAGTAAATAGCAGAAATTTTCAAGCTAAAATCTTCTTATTCTATGTTATTTCCATAACATCATGGATAATGTAACCCCTACAATGTTCTGGTAATTGTACAATGGCAGTTATAAAAGTGATTTTGATATAGACTTTAGGTTTGGAATATTATACAATGACAGAGATCTAGTTTGGAGTTGTAGCCATGAAACTGTATTTTTCTCCTGAAAGTTAGTAATATAATGTGAAAAATGTAGGCAAACAATAAAAAGTAGGCTCAGTGTGCTTGTGAAAGTGATGAAACAATAAAAGCAAATGGTACCATTCATTCTAACATAAAAGACTGTTAAATATATAGTTTCAGATAAACCTTAATAAGTTATTAGATATTGAGGGTGTGGGTCTGTGACTTCAGAAAACAATAGGCTAAAGGTAAAGGGTGTCTTTGATAATATGTGAAGATCTACATATATTTTTGGTACGCACACAAACACATACAGACATCTTTATCTTGGGTTAACCATCTTCTTAAAGTTAAGATTAATTGCTTTGGTAAGTAAATCTTCAAATTTTAGTTTAGAATAGTTTTAGGGGCTTCTCTTCAAGCCCGTATTCTCCCTTGAACAGTATCTTACTTGTTTGTCTCGATATTTCTTTGCGTGTGGTTTTCAACTTGGAGAAACCCGGATTTTCTCTTGAGTATGTATTTCCTCTTTCTCTCCTCTTGCATCATTCTGGTTTTGTTTATCTGTTTCTTTGTTTGGGGGACATACTAGGCAATGCTCAGGGCTTACTCCTAGCTCTTTGCTCTGAGATCACTGCTGGTGCTGGTTGGGGGAATGATGGGATACAGGGGATTGAACTCAGTTTGGCCATGTACAAGATAAGAGCCTTATCTGCTGAACCTCAAGCCCCTCCCTGGCCATCTTTTCAAGCAAGTGTCATTTAATAAAAACTGTTTTGATTCACTATCACTGTACCACTGTATCACTGTCATCCTGTTGGTCATTGATTGCCTCGAGCAGGCCCCAGTAACGTTTCCTTCATCCCAGCCCTTGGGATTTTAAAAAGTGCCACATTCGAGGCTCTTTCAGGGTCAGGAGAATGAGACCCATCATTGTTACTCGTTTTTGGCATATTGAATACGCCACGGGGGGGTTGCCAGACTCTGCCGTGTGGGCAGAATGCTTTTGGTAGCCTGCCAGGTTCTTCAGAGTAAGACCTAGATAATAAGATATCCAGGAGCAGGGTTTTATAGTCTCTGGGTCTTGGCCGTTGATGAGATTACATGGTGCTGGGGGCAGTTGGTGGGTATAATGCCTGGAATATGGGGGATCTGGGTGGAGGAGGCCC